GCCGAGTGGCAGCTGCGGGGCAAAGAAAGCCCCAAAAGCCTCAAAGCCCGCATGCAAAGAGTTTCCAGAGTTCTCCAGATTGTGAGATTTATTTCAATAAGTCCTTTTCTGGTCCTTTTGCCTTGCTGCGCTCAAACGCAGTAGCAGCAACTACTCTGCTGCTGCTGCTGCGCCTTTGCTGCTGCTGCTGCGTTTTCGGTGCTGCTGCAGCGCCCTTGCTGCTGCTGCTGCGCCTTTGCTGCTGCGTTTCCTTTGGCGGCTGCTGCTGCTGCCTCAGTGGCTGCTGCTGCTGCTGCTGCTGCTGCATGTCTTCTTTTGTGTCTCCTTTTGTTGCAGGAAGCAAATATCTCTCGCCCCACACACCACGGCCTTCTCCTGTCGGCGCACATGCAGGAGGCCTTCAGGCTTGCGCAGCTGCCCTACCTCCAGCGGCAAGAGACAGAGGGGCCCCCAAGGGGGCCCCCTGAGGAGCCCCCCGAGGGGCCCCCTGGGGGGCCCCCCGAGGGGCCCCCTATGGGGAACCCTGTGGGGCCCCCTGCAGGCCCTCATGAGGGGCCCCCTGCAGGGCCCCCTGAGGGGCCCCCTGAGGGGCCCCCTGGGGGGCCCCCTGAAGGGGCCCCTGTGGAGTCTTCTGCGGAGCCCCAGCGGGCCAAGCGGCGAGGGCGACCTAAGCAAGAGCAGCAGCAGCAGATGGAAGGTCATGGAGCTGCTGCTGCTGCTGCTGCTACTACTGTTACGAGAAAGAGACGAAAGCAAGAGGCAGCAGCAGCACCATCCGCAGCAGCCGCAGCAGCAGAGGAAGCAGCAGCAGCAACAGATGCTGCATGCGACATTCCATCTCTTGAAGAGATTCCTTGCGGGCCTGGATTTAGTGGGGCACCCTCTGGGGTTTCTTGTGGGGTACCTAATGGGGCCCCCTGTGGGGCCCCCTGTGGGGCCCCCTATGGGGCCCCCTGTGGGGCCCCTCCTTGCGCCTCTCCTGGTGGGTCTTTAGAGGGGGCCCCAGCCTGGGGGCCCCACGTCAGCGCGGGCTGTGGGTGTGGGTGTGGGGCCCCCTTAGGGCGTTGCTGGGAGACCTCCGGGGGCCCCCAGGGGGCCCCCCAGGGGGCCCCTCAGGGTGCCCCCCAGGGGGCCACCAAGGGGGGCCCCCCTGGGGGCCCCTCTACTGCTGCAGTACCCATTTTAAAGGGACGAGTCTTGAGGTCTCCGCCAGCTTATTTGTGCTCGAATACCACTTTGGTAATTTGTCCTCCTTTTTTGGCAAGACATTGGCAGGCCCAGTTGGCCCAGTGGTTTGGCTGGCAGCACCTCCCCAAGGCAGACCAAATGCGGGTACGCGCTGCTGCTGCTGCTGCTGCTGCTGCTGGGCGTGAGGCTGTTGCTGCTGCCGCTGCTT